AAGGCCCTGGATTTAATCACCTAACGCACAAATAAAAACTAAAGTTGTACTACATAATTTCCATGTGGCTAGTGAGGCCTAAGTTCATGTTTTAAAAAGTTACAGAATTAAGAAATGTTTTCAGGCTGAAAGGGCACATAACACATACTCAGTGCCATGAATGAAAACAATCACAAAAAGGTCTACCCACTGTAAAATTTCACAATATAGAAACAAACGAGAAGGAAAAACAACACACACAGATCACGCACAACATACGAGAAGTCATATATTGTATGAAAATGGCTTCAGATTTCTCAAAAGTGGTATAGATTCTAGAAAGCAGTATTAGGAAATTCTAAGAGAACATATTTTCCCACCTATTGTTACTCTTTACTGAACCACAGAATCAAACAAATATAAAAGTAAACCAAAGCCATTTTTAAAAATCAAATAAATCAAGAAAGAAGACAACAATGGTCACTGGAAAATTGAGATCCAATACAGGAGAAAGTGAAGGGACTCCAACGATAATGGTTGTGTACACTAGAAGGCAATCAGTCCAGAATGAGAGTGAAGATGTAACAGAGACTTCTGGAAGACAAAACTGCTAACAATATTTGATGCCACTATTGAGACATCTGATGATATGCAGATTTAATGACAGAGAGAAAACTAAAGGGAGGGAGAGTGAAGAGGGCAATGAACTTCAAACACATCATCCCAGCTGAAAATTGTTAATCAGCTCTTTAGTCCTATTACACTTAAGCTTAGGCACACAATCAAGAATTACCAGACATCTGAGGAAGGGCTTTATCAAAAAAGGTAGAGCCCAAAAATACAAAAACGGGAGGGAGCTATAAAGGAGGAAATGCAACTGGGAAAACAGAACTATGCTGATACATAAAAACTTGAAAGAAGAGAATCCACCAACACTTCTACACACTAGACAGCGAAGGATGGGGTAGAAGCTGGGAGGCGGTCACAGGAGATTGTACTACATAGGAAAAGTAAGGATCTTTTACAAGAATACTAAATAATCAAGAGTAACATAACTATTAACTTTTGGGAGTAAGGAGTACTGCTAGGAAGGGTGACCAGATAGGTAAATATCTTCATTTTCTAACTAAGAAGTTAATGAACGAGGCCAACCTGGGCTACATAGTGAAGTTCAAGGCCAGCCTGAACCACAAAGCAAGCCCCTGTCTCAAAAAAAAAAAAAAAAAAAA